CGAAAGATACCTGTCGTCTTTGGGGGGCGGGGGCGGGGGCGAGGGCGAGCGTATGGGGGCCTTTCCTGCAGCTTTCTCGGACAGTTCGCTGGGTGGAGGTGTTGAGCGGCCAGCGGTGGGCAAGTCGTGTGAGGTGGTCGCAGGCTCGTCGACGTGGTGGGCAGAGGATGGCTGTGCGGCTTCGAGCGCCTTTTCCTGTGCTTGGTGCGAGCCTTCCGCTATTGGCTCCGGCTCAGTCTCTGTGGATACAGCGTGTTTCTTATCCTGCGCATCTACCGTGTCCTCGTTGTTGGCCACTGACCCCTCGTCCAGAGCACCGGCAGGCTGCCCCACCTCGCTCGTCGTGGTTGCGCTGTCATGGTCGTGCTTGGGCAGAGAGACGTGGCCTTGGGGGATGGGCTCCTGTTGTGCTTCAGCGGCTACATGGTGCGGATCCGCGACCTTGTCTAGCTGGTCGTTGGTGTTGATGATGTCGTGGGTTGCATCGAGTTGCGGAGTTGGGTTCGGGAGAGACATAGACCGACTGCGGATAAGGAACGTGAAAGAAAAGAAAGGTGCAGAATGGCCGGTCAAACTTCCATGGACAGTCAGCAGCGCTTCACACAGCTCGAACAGCGTCAAAGTCGGTCGGCTCCCTTTGCGGTCGAGACGTGCTTCGCCCAAGACTGCGAGCTGCCCGCATGGATGGTCTCCCGGCATCTAGAAGCCGAATCGCCGAACTACCTCCGTCTGCTATCAACGCCTTCAGATGCGTCGCATCCCCAAACTCTATCGCAACCTCATCATCCCTCCTGTCTCGGCGCCCTGCCATGTGCGGCATCTTCTTCTCCCTCAGCAGGGCCAGCCATGTGACGCCCACTGCCAGTACCGAGCTGCTTCTTCGGCACAGAGGGCCAGATGCCACTGGACAGCATCGCGTCGCTATCGAGTTAGACTCTGCATGCGCTGTACAAGAAGCAAGCCCAACGCGGGTGCACGCCACTTTTCTGTCGACAGTACTTGCTTTGCGCGGCAAGGAAATTGTTCAGCAACCTCTCAAAGACGCAACTACGGATTCAGTGCTCTGCTGGAACGGCGAGGCCTGGAGCATCTCTGGCCAAGCTATCAATGGCAACGACTCCCAGCTCGTCTTTGCTAGACTTCTAGAGGCATGCGCCGGCCAAAGTACAGCCTCTACGTGTAACGTCGTTGAGCTGGTTTCAGCCGTGCGTGGCCCTTATGCATTCGTCTTCTATGATGCGCCAAACAAACGCGTCTACTACGGTCGCGACTGCCTCGGACGGCGATCGCTACTTCGCAAAGACGCTGCCGACGGCACTATTGTTTTGTCCAGTGTTTGCGACAATGTATCTGGTGAGGCTTGGGCTGAAGTCGATGCTGACGGCATACACGTCGTCGACTTGTTGGATGTACATACTGCATATCCATTATTTTCTGATAAGCGGATACCCCACCGTCGTTTCGACCAAGATCAAGACTCTGAAGTCTCTTTCGTAGGTAAGTGGCCCTGTCCGTGGGTTCTGCTAACACCCGTAGACTCTGCCCTTTCCTCTAATGAATTGCTCCATCTCGGACAAAGCCACCCTAGATTTCAGTGTGGTAGACCAACTGAGGACGTCTTTGCTCGAGTCTCTGCAAGTTCGCACAGAACATGTCCGCGAGGCAGTAGCCAGCATGGACATGGATGTGCCAAATCACGCCAGAGTGGCAGTCTTATTCTCGGGCGGCCTTGACTGCACGATTCTTGCACGCTTGTGCCACAATCTCTTGCCACCAAGCGCACCTATTGATCTTCTCAATGTTGCTTTCGAGAACCCCCGCATTCACTCTCAGCTTGAACCCGGCACCAGCCCATATGAGCTTTGTCCCGATCGCATTACTGGAAGATCATCGCATGCCGAGCTTGTTGACGTCTGTCCAGGTCGCACGTGGCGGTTCGTCGCAATCAACGTACCCTACTCTGAAACGCAGGCACATCGTCTCAATGTCATGACACTGATGTATCCTCATAACACCGAGATGGATCTTTCTATATCATTCGCCCTCTATTTCGCTTCACGTGGCAGTGGACTAGTCGGTGCCTCAAATAATGGCAAAACTGAGCCGTACACAACCACTGCGCATGTTCTTCTTTCAGGCTTGGGTGCCGATGAGCTCTTCGGAGGCTATCAGCGACACGATTTAGCCTTTGCCCGGCGTGGTTATTCTGGCCTTATTGAGGAGCTAGAACTTGACTTTAGTCGATTGGGAAAACGAAATCTGGGCCGAGATGATCGTGTCATCAGTGACAGCAGCAAAGAAGTTCGATTCCCGTATCTAGATGAAGATTTCATCGCATTAGCGCTCCGTCTTCCAGTGACTGCCAAGTGCGATTTTGGCCTAGCCCAAGAAGCTGATAGCAAGGATCCAATACTGGCCCTTGAACCCGCAAAGCGAGCACTTCGACTGCTAGCATGGCAATTAGGTATGAAGAAAGTTGCCTCCGAAAAGAAGCGTGCGATTCAGTTCGGTGCCCGCACCGCTAAGATGGAGACGGGCAAAACAAAAGGCACATATGTGCTCAGCAAATGAGGTCAGTCACTTGTCTTCTTCGTCCCTTTCCCTCGCAATGATTCCAAAACGAACAAACGGCGAGACACCAGCGTGTTTCCTCGGGCTGGTGCTACCCACTCTATGGTGCCAGCCTATGCGCGCTTTGGAGTCACTGATGTCTAGTTTTAAAAGGCAAGTCTGAGCCATATGCATATTATCATTTCACAGTTCATACTTGTTTACCCTCGTACTGACAAGTCGTAGGTGATGGCCTGTAGATTACGACGATGTCGCCCAGATTCTGTTACCTTCGAGGCAACACTGTTTGCAACCGAACATCACAGTGTTGCCATCAATCAAAGCTTGGTTCTTGCTTAATAACATATTCTCTAATGCCCGGTGTGATTCATAATGTAGGGGTTTGCACATGAGAATTGCCGGTTATATTGTTTGGTATCCAGTGGCTTCTACCAATAGGACTAATCGCATATTGTTTGAACATCCACAGCGTCTCTCAGCATCAGCGGTCACCAGCGGGTAAGTGTAGTCCTATTGTCGTAATAAATACAACCCACCTATCAGCGCATTGTCATTACCAAAGATGCATCACAGAGAGAGAGCACCAAGAGCCAACGCGGAAGCAAAGTACGTCACTGATACAAGAAGTTCGAAGTGCAAGAACATTGTTATTCGGCAACCAAATCATGAACAGCAACCCATTCCTTTTACCAAGGGTCCAGGCGGTCCACTCATCATCATCAGACCAAGTTTCCCAGCTCCCAATGCAAGTATAAAACCGGCTGTCCCTCCTGCCCATGCAGCATTCCTTAGGGCACCTTCGCTCGTAACAAGGGATCGACCGATGATGAGAGCCTGTCGCTGATGAACGTCAAGCTGACAAGTTAAGCTGAGGTCTGC